GAGAAATTGTTTTTAGCAGAGTTCAAATAAGTAAATGGAGAAGAGGATGGATGGATGGATGGATGGATGGATGTTGGTTGGATGGTTGGTTGGATGTTGGTTGGTTGGATGGATGGTTGGATGTTGGTTGGTTGGTTGGATGTTGGTTGGTTGGATGGTTGTTGGTCGGTCGGTTGGTCGGATGGATGTTGGTTGGATGGTTTGATGGTTGTTGGTTGGATGTTGGTTGATTGGTTGGTTGGATGGTTGGTTGAATGGTTGGATGGATGTTGGTTGGTTGGATAGATGTTGGTTGGTTGAATGGTTGTTGGATGTTGGTTGGATGGTTGTTGGTTGGTTGGATGGATGTTGGTTGGTTGGTTCGTTGGTTGCATGGATGTTGGTTGGATGGTTGGTTGGATGGTTGTTAGATGTTGGTTGGATAGATGTTGGTTGGTTGGATAGATGTTGGTTGGTTGGATGGTTGTTGGATGTTGGTTGGATGCTGTTGCTGAGTAAATGTCACATGTTTCAGGTTTTAGAACAAAGAACTGATGAAAACATTTGAGTCTCTGATCTTTTCCTCCTGAAATCCAGACGCTGATTTTCGGTTCTTCCAGTTCAGCTTCACATTTCATCCATCAGATTAAACTCTGGGTGAACTGTTGACGTCCAGTTTCCAGCTGTTACTGGTGAAACTGGGAGGTTTAGTCCTGACCAGCTGTTTGTTCCTCGCAGAGCGGCTGCTGAAGATGTCTCTGGAGGAGCTGCGAGAGTTTCTCCAGGAGCGAATCGCTCAGACGTTCTTCCACAGTGACGACCTGATCATCGAGCAGCTGCAGGCCTCCATGATGGAGCTGAGGAAGATGAAGCTGGACCTTCCTCCTCCAGGTACAGCTTTGCACCTGAAGGTTCTCCAACTCCAGCTGAGTCTCTCTCACCCTTCTGTTCGGTCTGTTTCCAGGGAAACCAGAGGAGCTGCCTCAGAAGCCTCTGGGCCAGGAGCTGCCGGTCCTGCTCGGCCCGGTCCAGCCGTCCTCAGCCACTGGGTTCCCCAGAGCCGGCCTGAGTCTCCACATCATGTCCCATCAGCCGGACTCCATTTCCCCAGACCAGAGCCCCTCCAAGGACCCCAGGGATCTGGATGCGGTGGAGGAACAGGAGGCCCCGCTGCCCTCTCCAGACCCCGTCATCATCCACAGCCAGGTGCCTCTCACACCTGATGGCTCCCCACTGATGGGGCCGCCGCCTTACCGGCCCCCAGGGAGTCCAGGTCCATCGCTGCCAGGAGACCAGGACTGGGATCCAACCGGCCGGTCAGCATCTCCGGCTTTGGTTCTGGCTCAGTCTGAGTGCCTGTCTGAGTCAGAAAGTACTGAGGACCGAGACACGTCCCAGTTTCTGGACCAAGACTCAACTCTGTCCTCCACCAGGAGCACCGACCAGAACCAGAGTCGAGAAGCAGAGGAAAACCCGCCACCGAACGGTTCATGAGCAGCAGATTAATGGTTAGAGGTCCAGTGTGGCTTGAATGTTTTATTTGGTTTCTGTGACAATGGAAAATGTTCTGTTTTAAGACTGAAGCGAGTTAGCATGCCACTCTCTGGCCTTCTCCAGGTAACCGTTCAGATGAACATGAAGACTCCAACTCGTCTCAGTCGTCCCACAGAGTCGAACTCCAGACGGGCAGGTTCAGTCAGGAAACACCAAACGTAACGGCAGGGTCCATATTTATCAGCTGTCTCAGCTTCCTGGGTGGTTTTAGCTCTAAGCAGAACCCAAACATGTTCATATGGTAGAGAAACAACATAGTATTTAATACAAGCTAATGCTAAAGCGCTAACATTAATTATGTTGATACTCATCATTTGTCAATGATGAGCTAAAACATAGTCTATCATCCTCAGGCTCAAATTTGTCTATACATGATTTATGGACAAATTTGTGCTTTATAATTTACCTGAAAAAATAATTTAGAAAAAGCTAGGTGCACTGAAAATGGTCAAAGTTAGCAAATGCACAAAACGTGGCTGATAGTGGAAGTTTGTGATAAAAGTTGGAGGATTTTGTCCTTCAGCTGAGAGACGCTGGGTGAATATGGATCCAGTTTGGCACCAGATCAGATTCCATCTGCGTTGGTCAGGAAATCCGACTTTGGAGTCTTCTCCCAGCTCCAGTTTGGACTTCTAGCTGAAATAAGTTCTGAAACTTCCCCCTTTACAACACTAATTACACTTTTCTAGATTTGTAAAGTTTTTGGTGACGTAGACCTGCTCAGTCTGCCTTTTTAAACTGCTTTAGTCACAGTTTGTTTTTTATTTGTTGTATATAACAATGTCTGGATGCCTTATTTGGATCGGCTTCAGTTCTTCTGTGGACAACTTTCAGGTGTTGGACCAAACAGAACCTCTGTCTCAGTGAGCAGGCTCACTCTTCTGATTGTACACATGGAGCTAAACTATAAGGAAGTGTTTTTGTAGCTCACTTATTTATGGTTCGAACAGCAACTCTTTATTTTCTTCTTTAAGATTCAGTTTTATTTGTTGCATAATGGAAAAATTGATTTTGAGGTGATAAATTATTTTGTTAGAATTTGACAGTACTGTAGATCCAGGAGGCAAAACTGGGTTAAAGTGGCTCCTTTCTGTGATTAGAAATAAGGAAACACTGACATCTAGTGGTTGCTTTAGGTCTCTAGTTGTAGATTAGCTAAAACTCTGGAAAGGTTTTTAACTTTAAACTAAAATCAGGACTCAAATTTTGATGCTGTTAATTTCTAAGATATGAATATGTTTATGATATTTCACTAAATGATAGAACGTTAAATTGTCAGTCCAAGTCGCTTCAGTAGAACAGGTTCTTGGTCTTTACTGTCTTAAAAAATAGATCTTAATAAATAGGAACTGTTAAAAAATCAGATTCTGCAACAATACATCTTGTATATCCTTTGTCCTTTGAGTGTGACGTGTCTTTTTTTATTGTAAAACATTTATTACCGTCTACACTGAGGCCGTTTTGTCTCTACTGATCTTAATGCAAAAGCCTTGTGACCTTTCTGCTCTCTATCTGGACCTTGTCACAATTAGTTCTGGGTACCTTTTGGGGCCCCCAGAAAGGTGGAGAACTGGAGGCCAGAGGCCTGGAGTTCAGAGCCCCCCTTTAATTCAGCTAACCCTGTAGAGACGAGCTTTCAGTTGAACTGATGTAACGTAGGGTTTAGGAACCCCAGCAGATCCAGATGATTAAAGGCAATGGGGATTATATCTTTGGGATTTCATATTTGGTCACCATCATTTTCATCTTTGGTTAGCTTTGAACAGAGGAACCTGCAGTTTTTCATTTATCTCACTTCATCTGAAAATCTCACTTCATCTGAAAATCTAATCTCTGGAATAGAAATGGTGTGATCATCATTAAAATGAGTTTGTATTTTTTTCAAGGAAAAATCCAGCAGTGACAACATACGAAAGAAGAGAAGAAGTTTGTTTCATGAAAATGTATTCGTCCTGTTACATAAGCAAAAAAAAAAAAAAAAAAAAAAAAAAAAAAAATTTCTTTTTTTTTTTTAAAATTTATACAAAATTTTTAAAAAAGGGTTTTTTTTTTTTACAAATATAGGGGC